TTATGTACCTCACCCGGAGTTTGGTGCACTTACTAAATTATGTACCTCCCCGGAGTTTGGTGCACTTACTAAATTATGTACCTCCCCCAGAGTTTGGTGTACTTACTAAATTATGTACATCACCGGAGTTTGGTGTACTTACTAAATTATGTACCTCACCCAAAGTTTGGTGTACTTACTAAATTATGTACCTCCCCGGAATTTGGTGCACTTACTAAATTATGTACCTCAGCCGGAGTTTGGTATATTACTAAATTATGTACCTCCCCCGGAGTTTGGTGTACTTACTAAATTATGTATCTTCCCCGGAGTTTGGTGCACTTACTAAATTATGTACCTCACCCGGAGTTTGGTACACTTACTAAATTATGTACCTCACCCGGAGTTTGGTGTTCTTACTAAATTATGTACCTCAGCCGGAGTTTGGTATATTACTAAATTATGTACCTCCCCCGGAGTTTGGTATACTTACTAAATTATGTACCTCACCCGGAGTTTGGTATACTTACTAAATTATGTACCTCACCCGGAGTTTGGTGTACTTACTAAATTATGTTAATTAAAATATCTCCAAGTTATGTTATTTCTTAACTTATTAAAGTATCACCAAGTTATCTTATTTCTTAACTTATTAAAGTATCCCCAAGTTATGTTATTTCTTAGCTTATTAAAATATTACCAAGTTATGTTATTACTTAACTTATTAAAATATCACCAAGTTATGTTATTTCTTAGCTTATTAAAATATCACCAAGTTATGTTATTTCTATTAAAATATCACCAAGTTATATTATTTCTATTAAAATATCACCAAGTTATGTTTTTCTTAGCTTATTAAAATATCACCAAGTTATGTTATTTCTTAGCTTATTAACATATCACCAAGTTATGTTATTTCTTAGCTTATTAAAATATTTTGTTTTATTCTTCACCAAGCGCGAGATCTTATCGTAGAAAATGTTAAAATAAAAACAAATCACCGCCATTTTAAGATTCTTCTAATCGACTGTTCGTTTGTTGTTAAAGCTACAAAATGCTCTGCTCGCCATTGGCATCGAAACTCCAATTTTAGCTTTATAATCCCTCAGAACTACAGCTGAACCACAGAAAGGAGGGCACTGCTTAATCATTAGTAGAAACATACACACGTGGAAATATATTTAGGTCCTATCATTGGCGAGATAAAATAACAAAACAACTTTCATGGACTTTTTAAAGCTTTGGAACGACTTACGTGGCTAAGCCACTCAATGTATTCCTGAAAATATCTTTGGTATTTTAATAGTATAAGTTATAGAGAAGAGGAGTTATTATTATTAATGGTGTAATTATTCGGACTATTATTGAAGGAATATGTCACAGTGTTTTCCGTGGAAATATGCACGTATAGTGAAATTCTTAAACAACGTAGAACCAGAGGACAGAATATTTCGAAAACAGAATCCTGTATTGTTCTCCATGAAAGTGAAAAAGAAAAAATAATAGCTCAGTACAGGTTTTAAAACAGAACGAGGCTCAGAAACTACACCCAAGTCAATCTAGAGCAAAGTTCTTATCCATAAAGAAGAGATTACGAAAGAGAACCCTCCGACCCAAAAGAATCATTGTAATGAGGCTAAATAATAAAGGATTCCAACCTGACCAAATTTCATAATCTGTTTTCTATGAGCTAGAAACAGGGATCACAGTAACATTGCTTACATATTGCTGCTCTAATGAGCTTCTGTTTCTTTATTTTTATTAAATATGATCTTAGAAGACATCGTAGACGTACAACGGATGGTTTGTGGAAAGTCTATGGAGAAACTCGTTACAATGGGAATAGTAGTCTTGGACAATAGTACGTAATCACGGTCATCACACTGAGTACGAGTAACGAAAGTGTGGTCTAAAAAGTCCTGGAACATCGTTCTTATAAAGTACGATTATCCCTCAGTAGCTATATCCGTGTATTGTATATCTTTATATTAACTGTACGTTTTCTCAAAACATACAACACTATAAGGTTCAATACTTACACTTGTTTACTTCTTATAAAACTAATTTAAATATGATAAATATTGTGTGTGTGTGTGTTAAATACCAATATTCAATCGGGCATATAGGGTATCACACGAGAAGACCAAGGATAGAATCTCGATCTCCACGAACACAAGAAGTACTTCTCAAGTTTTGTCTGAAAACAGCAACAAACTTGCAGTTAACACGCAAAACATAAACAACTTCGAACACGTTAATCATGATTTTAAGAAGGTAACTAATTAATCTTGGGAGATTGTGTGGGCTACAAATCATGACAACGATAGATCATTAATCGTTACAACCCGCTCCGTTCTCTCCTGCTTCTTATTACAGTAGCGACTATTAGAGCCAAGTGTTTCGTGCAAGAGAACAGGCTTTAATTTGAGTTCTAAAAAACGTAATTTGTTTTAATGTAATGATTTTATAGTAACTTTAACAAACATATTGTATTAAACTAATACAGGCTTGAGACAACGTTAGATATATAAGAAAGTTCATCAATAAATAGATCTGGATAAACACAACCTCCTTCTACAAACTCTTCAATCACACGAATAAGGGGAGATCCAATAAGTGCAGATAAGACATTTCAAACCGTTTTGATAGAAATTCTCGGATTATATTTTCTCGCATTTTTATTCTTCCTTTAAATTTTGACAAAATATTAACACTAAACCGGTACTAGGATTGTTATAGCACATTTACAAGTTATAAGACACTAAACCGGTACTAGGATTGTTATAGCAACTCTACAAGTTATAAGACACTAAACTGGTACTAGTATTTCTATAGCAACTCTACAAGTTATAAGACACTAAACCGGTACTAGGATTGTTATAGCAACTCTACAAGTTATAAGACACTAAACTGGTACTAGTATTTCTATAGCAACTCTATCAAGTTATAAGACACTAAAGATGGTACTAGTATTGTTATAGCAACTCCTTATAACTTGTAACTATAACAATCCTAGTACCGGTTTAGTGTCAACATCTACAAGTTATAAGACACTAAACCGGTACTAGGATTGTTATAGCAACTCTACAAGTTATAAGACACTAAACCGGTACTAGTATTGTTATAGAACATCTACAAGTTATAAGACACTAAACTGGTACTAGGATTATTATAGCAACTCTACAAGTTATAAGACACTAAACTGGTACTAGTATTTCTATAGCAACTCTATAAGTTATAAGACACTAAACCGATACTAGAATTTTTTTACCAATTGTACAAGTTATTAGACACTAAACCGATACTAGAATTTTTTTACCAATTGTACAAGTTATTAGACACTAAACCGATACTATAATTTGTTGTACCAACTGTACAAGTTATAAGACACTAAACCGATACTAATATTTCTATAGCAACTCTATAAGTTATAAGACACTAAACCGGTAGTAGTATTTCTATAGCAACTCTATAAGTTATAAGACACTAAACCGATACTAGTATTTCTATAGTAACTTTACAAGTTATAAGACACTAAACCGGTACTAATATTTCTATAGCAACTCTATAAGTTATAAGACACTAAACCGGTAGTAGTATTTCTATAGCAACTCTATAAGTTATAAGACACTAAACCGATACTAGTATTTCTATAGTAACTTTACAAGTTCTAAGACACTAAACCGGTACTAATATTTCTATAGCAACTCTACAAGTTATAAGACACTAAACCGGTACTAATATTTCTTTCGTAACTTTTCCAAACGTATAATAGTAAACAAAAATATATGTATATTTTACATTTATCACATCGATGAGTTCCAAAGGATGTTTGAAACCAATAATCTCGCACAATTTATCAATGTAAAGGAGTTAATGTAGTAAATCCAACTAAGATAAAACACATTATTGGCACAATTTATCAATGTAAAGGAGTTAATGTTGTAAATCCAACTAAGATAAAACACATTATTAGCAGAATTTATCAATATACAGGAGTTAATGTAGTAAATCCAACTAAGATAAAACACATTATTGGTAGAATTTATCAATGTAAAGGAGTTAATGTAGTAAATCCAACTAAGATAAAACACATTTTTGGCAGAATTTATCAATGTAAAGGAGTTAATGTAGTAAATCCAACTAAGATAAAACATATTATTGGCAGAATTGATCAATGTAGAGAAGTTAATGCAATAAATCTAACTAAGATAAAACACATTATTGGCAGAATTTATCAATGTAAAGGAGTTAATGTAGTAAATCCAACTAAGATAAAACACATTATTGGCAGAATTTATCAATGTAGAGAAGTTAATGTAGTAAATCCAACTAAGATAAAACACATTATTGGCAGAATTTATCAATGTAGAGAAGTTAATGTAGTAAATCCAACTAAGATAAAACACATTGTTGGCAGAATTTATCAATGTAAAGGAGTTAATGTAGTAAATCCAACTAAGATAAAACATATTATTGGCAGAACTGATCAATGTAGAGAAGTTAATGCAGTAAATCTAACTAAGATAAAACACATTATTGGCAGAATTTATCAATGTAAAGGAATTAATGTAGTAAATCCAACTAAGATAAAACACATTATTGGCAGAATTTATCAATGTAGAGAAGTTAATGTAGTAAATCCAACTAGGATAAAACACATTATTGGCAGAATTTATCAATGTAGAGAAGTTAATGTAGTAAATCCAACTAAGATAAAACACATTGTTGGCAGAAATTATCAATGTAAAGGATTTAATGTAGTAAATCCAACTAAGATAAAACACATTGTTGGCAGAATTTATCAATGTAAAATAATTAATGTAATATAATAAAGATGTATAACTTATATATATAAACACAGTTATAGTTGATTTGTAGAAATATATCAAAAATATAATTGGTTAACTTGAACACGTCGAACAAGTTTATTGCCTCAACTTACCTGGATATTTAGTTGCTATGTAGCAAGATCAGCCTTACTTGGATACTTAGTTGCTAGGTAACAAGATCAGCCTTACCTGGATACCCTCGTAGCTTGTCAAGATAAACTACGGATTGGGAATCATCTAAGGTAACAACAACTTTCATGGACCTACTGGAGCAGGAGACGTCGTAGCTGACTAAAGAACAAAAACAATATTAGTAACATCTACATCAGGTTAATAACTTCAATATTAGTAACATCTACATCAGGTTAATCACTTCAATATTAGTAACATCTACATCAGGTCACACACTTCAATATTAGTAACATCTACATCAGGTTAATCACTTCAATATTAGTAACATCTACATCAGGTCACACACTTCAATATTAGTAACATCTACATCAGGTCACGCACTTCAATATTATTAACATCTACATCAGGTTAATCACTTCAATATTAGTAACATCTACATCAGGTTAATCACTTCAATATTAGTAACATCTACATCGGGTTAATCACTTCAATATTAGTAACATCTACATCAAGTTAATCACTTCAATATTAGTAACATCTACATCGGGGTTAATCACTTCAATATTAGTAACATCTACATCAGGTTAATCACTTCAATATTAGTAACATCTACATCGGGTTAATCACTTCAATATTAGTAACATCTACATCAAGTTAATCACTTCAATATTAGTAACATCTACATCGGTTAATCACTTCAATATTAGTAACATCTACATCAAGTTAATCACTTCAATATTAGTAACATCTACATCAGGTTAATCACTTCAATATTAGTAACATCTACATCGGGTTAATCACTTCAATATTAGTAACATCTACATCAAGTTAATCACTTCAGTATCATTAACATCTACAT